TCTTCAGGTTATCAATAGAGGGTTCTTCTGAGATTGGCCCCCCCCCCCCCCACACTGAACGCAATAACCTCGTCGTCCGACGAGGACGTGTAGACCCGCGATCTAGTCCGCTTGGCCGGTAAAAGCGCTTGGTCCTTCCACAAGCGGTAAAGTCTCCCTTCGGCGCCTTCTTCTTCGTACCGCCGGCACTCGTACCTGGTCATCCCACAACCTCTAGGTCGTCTACAACCATTCCTGTAGCCTTGGATATCGCATCCCGGACCAGGTCTCCTACCCGTGATGCGTTGCCCGTAGCTCTATCCAGAGTTGGGGCCAGGTCAGCCACCCCAGACTCCTGACAATGTCATGTTGTCGACGGAGGGTGGCCTGTCCTACCACCACCAAACACCGCCGTGGTGTGGGATCCCCCCCACACCGGTTTATCGCTGAAGTTGTACCTTCCATATTTTCTATATCTGTAAAATATAGGGTACAGGGCCCCAGCGGGAACGGAAAGGAAAGAAAAGAGTAGAGAAAGATGGGACAGAAAGCGCTAAAGGTAGGGATAGCCATACGAGATCATTCACACTCCATGCATACCTTCCCTTTTAGTCGCCTCTTACGACAAGCAGCGAATACTGTGGGAGAATTCTACTACCCCCTGCCCACTGGGGGGTGCATATTCAACTGCTACTGCAACTGCACTGGCAAAGGAAGCGGCATCTGCAATTGCATTTTCTTTTAAACTATATTCATTTCACGTTTTAATTGCAGGTTCCACTGCATGTGTTGTTGCTGTTTTAAATGCATATGCAGTTAAAAAGCTGGAAAAATATATATTAGAAAAAAAAGCATTTGCAGTCGCAGTAGCAGTTACATTTGCATTTTCTGTTGCAGTTGCAGTTGCACTTGCAGTTGCCTGTTTAGTTCTAGTTGTCAGTTGCATGTCTGTAGTAGTTGTAGTGTTATGTGCAGTTGCAGTTGCAGTTGCATGTTCTGTTGCAATAGCAGTGGCAGATGTATTTTCTTTTAAAAAGTATGAAAAATATGATATAAAAAAAAAATGCAGTGGCAGTTTTAATAGCAAGAAAAGATGCAGTTGCAGTTGTATGTGCAGTGTCTGTATCAGTTGCTTTTGCAGTTGCAGTTTCAAATGCATTAGTAAATGCAGTTGCAGTTGCAGTTGCAGTATCATGTGCAATTAGAGTTCTAGCTGCATGTGCCGCTTCAGTTTGAAACGCATTTGCAGTTATAAAGCTAGAATAATATATATTAAAAAAAATGCAGTTGCAGTCGCAGGAGCAGTTGCATTTGCATGTGCAGTTTCAGTGGTAGTTTCACTAGCAGTGCCTTTTGCAGTTGTAGTTTAAGTTCTAGTTGCAGTTGCATGTGCAGTTACAGTTGCAGTTCCATGTGCCATAGCAGATGCAATTGCAGTTGCAGTTGCATTTGCTTTTAAGAAATTTAAAAAATTTAATATTGTGGAAGAATGCAGTTACAGCTTCTGTAGCATTTAAAGTTAAATTTACAGTTGCGTGTGCAGTTGCTGCGTGAATTGCATTACCAGTTGTCGTTGCAGTTTTATTTTCATTTGAAGTTAAAGATGCAGTTTCACTTGCAGTTAAAATGTTAAAAAAAAAATTTTCTTAAATCGCAATGCAGTTACAGGAGTCTGTACAGGCGCAGATGCAGTAACAATTCAATGTACAATTGCATGATGATTTGCAGTTGCTGTTGAATTTTTAGTGGCATTATCATGTATAGTGGCAGTTACATCAACATGTGCAGTTGCAGTTGCAGTTAAATTTGCAATTTCAGTTGTATGTGCAGTTGCAGTTTAATCAGCATGTGCTATTGCTACAGCAGTTTTAGTTGCATCTTCTTTTGAAGAGTAAAGAAAATATAATGTTAAAAAAGAATTCAGTTGCAGTCTTAATAGCATGTGAAGTAGCAATTGCAGTGTCCGTTGCATTTGCTATTAAAAATTTAAAAAAATTTAAAAATAATAGAAATGCAGTTAGACTTTCTTTTTCATGTGCAGTTCTAGTTGCATTGGCAGTTCTTTTTTTATTTAAAAGTAAAAAAATGTAAAATTAAAAAAAAATGCAGTAGCAGTTTTAATAGCATGTGCATATGCAGTGGCAGAGCCAGTTGACCTTGCATAGGCAGTGGCTTGACTAGTTACAGTTGTTGTTACATGTGCTGTTGCAACAGCGGTTACAGTTGTTTTGGATTTTAAAAATAATATAAATATACAAATCAAAAAGCTGGCAGTTGCAGCTACAATAGCATGTAGAATAAATATTTACAGTTGCATGTGCAGTTGCAGTCGTAGTTACAGTTGCAGTTTCAGTCGCAGTCGCAGTTGCATTTGCATCTGCAGTAGCAGTTACATTTTTAATTGCAGTTGCAGCTGCATGGGCAGTCGCAGTTGCAGTTGCACTAGCAGTTATAACGTGGAAAAAAAAATTAAAAAAATACAATTGCAGTTACGAGCATATGCCGTTGCAGTCGCATTTGCAGTTGAATGTGTAGTTGCATTAGCAGTTACATTTTCTTTTTCTGTAAAAAGTATAAAAAATATAAACTTTAAAAAGAATGCAGTTACGGTTTAAGTAGCATGTGAAATTGCAGTGGCTTGTGCAGTTGCAGTGGCAGTTTTATTTGCAGTGGCAGTAGCATGTGCAGTTGCATCAGCATGTGCAGTTGCAGCTGCAGTTGAACTTGCAGTGAACGTTGCATGTTCTATTGCAGTTTCATTAACATGTGTAATTCCATTTTTGTTAGCACTTGCAGGTAAAACGTTAAAAAAATATAAATAAATAATATTGCAATTACAGTTGCAGTTGCCTTTTTAGATGCAGTTGTAGTAGCAGGTAAATGTGCATTTGCCTGTTCAGTTGCAGTTGCAGTTTAATTTGCAGTGGCAGTAGCCTGTGCAGGTGCAGTTGCAGTTGCAGTTGCAGTTGTCTTTGCTAATAATATGTTTAAGAAATTTAAAATAACAAAGAATGCAGTTGCAGTATCATTGCAAAAGGCAGTTGCTGTAGCTTGTAAAGTAGTAGTTGCTGTTGTATTTTCAGTTTGTGTGTAAGTTGCAGTTAAAAATAAAGTTTTAGTGGCAGTGACATGTGCAGCTACATTTGCAGTTGCATGTGCCCTTGCAACATCAGTTACATTTGCATTTGCTTTTAAAATGTAAAAAAATATAAAATTCAAAAGAAATGCAGTTGCAGTTTCAATTGCATGTGAAGTTGCATTTGCAGTTATATGTGCTGTTTAGTGTTCACGTGCCTTTGCATTTGCATGTGCAGTTGCAGTTGCATTTGCATTTGTTGTTAAAGGTAAACAAAATATAGAATAAAAAAAAAAGCGGTTTTAGTGGCAATAGCTTGTGCAGTAGTAGTTGTAGTTCTATTTGCTGGTTTAGTTTTAATGGCAGTGAAATATTTAGTTGCAGTATAAGTGGAATTTGCTTTAAAATAGTAAAAAAAAAATTAAAAAAAATGTAAGTATTTTTACATTTGCAGTTGCAGGTGCAGTTGCAGATTGAGCTGCATTTGCAGTTAAAAAGCTAGAAAAATATCTTTTGTAAAAAAAATGTAGTTTTAGTTGCTATTGCAGTTCCTGTAGCTTGTGCAGTAGCATTATTATTAATTTATATTTTTTTTACATTTAAACTGCTACTGCTACTAAACCTGCATATGCTACTAAAACTGCTACTGCATTCTTTTGAATTTTTGTTTGTTTTATTTTTTAAATGCAAATGCAACCACTAACTATTATTGCAACGGCAAATGCAACTACAACTGTAGGTGCACATGCTACTGCAATTGCATCTTCAACTGCCACTGTAACTGCACATGCCACTGCAAATGTTTCTTGTACTGCAACTGCACATGCAAATTTAACTGCAACAGAAACTGCATGGGCAACTGAAGCGGTAACTAGACATACAACTGCAAAAGAATTTTCAGATGCTACTAAAACTGCAACTACATTCTTTTAAATTTTTTATTGAATTTTTTTTAAGAGCAAATGCAACTGCTAATTGTTATGGCAACAACACATTAAACTACAACTGTATCTGCCCATGCTACTGTTACTGCAAATTCAACGGCAACTAGAACAGCATAATCAATTGCAACTGCAAATGCAACTAAAACAGACACTGACCCCTCAAAGGCCACAGCAACTGCTATTGTATTTATTTTTAACTTTTAATTTTTTTACGTTTTTTCTGCAAATGCAACTTCATCTGCAACTTCATCTGCAACTGCACATGCAGCTGCAAATGTAAAAGAACTTATATTTTTTTTATATTTTTTTTACTTTTTAACAGCAAATTCCACTGACACTGAAACTAAACATTTCACTACAATTGCAACTAAACCAGCAAATACAACTGCAACTACTACTGCACAAGCTGTTGCCACTGAAAATGCATATTTTATTTTATTTTTTATTTTGTTTACTTTAAAAAACAAATGCAACTGCAACTGCAACTGCACATGTCAATGCTAAGACACCTGACAACTCAACAGCCCGTACAACGGCAAATGCAACTTCACATGCTACTGAAACTGCAACTGTATTCTTTTTAAATTTTATATTTTTTTTTACATTTTAAAAGCAAATCCATATGTAACTGCTGTGGCAAGGGCACATGTAATTGCAAATGTAGCTGCACATGTCACTGCAACTGAAACTTTAACTTTAACTGCAATTTGCACACAAACTGCAAATACAACTGCAACTGCTACTTTACAAGCTACAGCAACTATACATGCTACTGATACTGCAACCGCATTCTTTGTTATTTTAAATTTTTTTAACATATTATTAGCAAAAGCAACTGCAACTGCAACTGCAACTCAACCTGCACAGGCTATTGTAACTGCAAGTTCAACTGCAGCTGTAACTGCACATGCTGATGCAGTTGCAAATGCACCTGCACAGGCTACTGCCACTGCAATTGCAATTTTTTTAATTTATATTTTTTTAAAATTTTGTCATTAAATGGAACTGCAAATACAATTGCATCTGCACATGCTACCCTAAGTGTAGCTGTTACTGCAACTGCAACTGCATATGCAACTGTACCTGCACAGGCTACTGCAACTGCAACTGAAACTTCACATGCTACAGCACATTTAACTGCTACTGCATTTTGGATTGAACATGCAACTGCAACTGCAACTGCACCTGCCAAGGCTTCTTTTTTTTTTTTTTTTTCGTTAGGGGGAAAAACCTGCCAAAGGCGCCCTGGGCCCGGTACCCAGGGGAGTGTCAGATTTTTACCGGTTAAAAAACCCACCTGAATCCAGTAATACCATGCAAAGAAGGAGGCGGGCGCAACACACGGTTCGTGCATACCATACCAGATGCCTCCTCCCCTAACCAGCCTGGCCGGAATTCGCCATGCTCTCGACACTCACTCTCACACATCACTCCTGCATCAGATCGCACTCAACAGGGACATTCCCTCTGGAGACGCTGACGCCACGTATACTGAGGCGCACTTGACAGTTGGGTTTTATCCCTCTTGGAGGCGCAGCTTAACCAAAACCATATCAATACTAGGCCCAGCCATCGGTCCTATGACGTGCAGGCTAGGCTTATCCACCCATGCTTTTATTCACTCTATAAGGGGGGAAAGCGGCGCACAGGACTCGGCCATTCGCCGCCTAGGCCACCCGAAGTCTCGCTCGAGGTGGCTGCCTAGGTACAAAACCCCTCTGCGGCCCCGCACGCATCCTTCTCACATTCATCCATTCTCTGTCCCTCTCATCTTTTTCCTTTTTTCTCATCACCAGTTTCGCAAATGTCTGGAATGCGAAATTCAGCGATGCTCTGACTATGCCGGGATGGGAGAGCGGCACTCTCCCTAACTTCCAAACCAGAGCATTCCTCTCACCCGTCCACTCACAGCAGACGATCAGGGTGTGATCTGCGTCGTCCTCATCAACCCCGCAATAAAAACATCGCGGAGATGCAGCTCTACATATTCTATATAGGTACGCCGGAAAACAGCCATGACCGGTCATCAGCTGAGTGGTGTGAAAGGTCGTGCCGATAGAGAACAGCCTCTCAGCCCACTCAACCAACTTATCAGCAATGGCTGCCCTCACGCGAACCCCCGTCTCCCCAGGAACACAAACCAGACCTAACTTCTCTTCCCTCCATGCAACAACCGCACCCCATCTCGCGAAGAAACCAAACGCCGCCGTGATGCCCGGAAGGACTGGTCCTTCTGCACCCCTAAGGGCCGCATAAGCCTCCGCCAGCCGTGGCGCAAGATGATCAAGGGGAATGACCCCCGCAACTATCATTGCCGCATGAAAGTAAGCCGCTCTGTAAGCACAGCACACCCTGATCGCCATCTTCCTTTGGAAGGCACGCGCACTCCGCTTTATTCTGGAATCCTCGACAACAGCGCGCCACTACACCGGAGCTCCATAAAGAAGAACCGAGTGGATCACGCTGCTGTAGAAGCGCCGCTTCTTTTCCCTCGGTCCATGGAGGTTCGGAAGGAGCCTCCCAAATGACCGATGGATCCCCTCCGCCTGAGGGGTCAAGGCCTTAAAGTAGGGCCTTAACGTTAGGCCAGAGTCTAACACTACTCCCAAATATTTGACACTGGGTTTCAGGCTAACACGAGACCCGCTAATCCTAATGCTAGGGGGCTGGGCACTCTTGCGTCTGCAGAGGGCCGAGGCAGGGAAGGCCATTGCTTCCGTTTTGTGCGGCGCTACCTTGAGGCCAAGCCCCTCAATCGCACCCACAAGCACTTCGAGGTCTCGCTCTGCATTCGCAATCGCTCGAAACAGGTCCCGCCTTACCGCCAAAAGGCGTCATCTGCGTAACGGACAACACAGGAGCCCGCCGGAAGCGCGACACGGAGGACACTGTCCTATGCGATGTTTCACAGTGTCGGTCCCAGCACTGACCCCTGCGGCACCCCACACGTCACTCGCCGTTCAATTACCCGACCCGGTCTTCCCACAAACACCAAAGACTTTTTATGTAGTTCACCATATACGTAGGGAGGCCCTTGTCTTCAAACGCCCTAAATATGGTGACCCACGGAAGCGAGTTGAACGCGTGGCTTTTGTCCAATGACACAAGAATCCCAACTCGCTCACCGTCCACACAGTCCTGACTGATGTCTCTAACAACCAAGATGTCGCCCACTGTCGAGCGACCAACCCGAAAGCCGTGTTGAGCCGGCGAGAGTAGACCCCCTCCCTTCAGGCACTTGTTAATTCTAAAGACGATGGTCTGCCCACCTCGTCGAGCAGACAAATCGGCCTGTATGAACCAGGCAAGTCCGGCCTTGCTTCTTGTTTCTTCTTGATGAGGACCAGCCTAGCCCTCTTCCAGGCCCTTGGGAAGCTGCTGATCCTCATACACTCCGTAAACAGTTCCGCCAGGCCACGCCCACAGTGTGCAGCCGCCATCCTCACTAACGCGCCCGGGACGCCGTCCGGCCCCGGAGCTTTTCCAGCGTTGATCTTCTTGGCTGCAGCAAGCACTTCTCCTGTCGTAACTGCAGCCCCGTCCATTTGCATACCTTACCCTCCTGCTGAACCGTCCCGGTCCACCAGAGGGAAGAGAACCCCCAACACACGGCAAAGCACGTCCGGTTCCAGTACCTCGGTAACCGGTGCCGCGTACGGCCTCAGCTTTCCCATAACAAGTCGGTAGGGTCTGCCCTACGGATCCGACTCTAGCGTAGCCAGGAAATCCCGCTTGGGATTCTTGGCCTTCTTGATGGCCCGTTTCAGATTCTTTCTCGCAGTCCTCAAGGCATCCAGGCAGAGCTCCATCCTTTCTTGGTTCCCTCTGCGTCTGGACCTCAAGTAGCGTCTTTTTGCCGCAGTAGTCGCCGCCCTGGGAGCTGTCAGTTCTTGCGACCACCAGGACACCTTCCTTCTTCCGTCCTTCTTGCCGATTATTTTCGGCATAGCCATGTCACAGGCACCCTTTAATGTTTCGCGCACTTACTTCACTAGCACTCAGAAACAATCAGCGTTCCCCGATATGAGAGCAGCAGCAAGAACGTCATTGCCAACGGCCCTCAAATTTCACCGAGGGAAAGTCTTATACTGTGAGCGTAAACTTCGGACATCTGTAGCCTCATGCCTGTATTTAAATAGGACATAACAACGGTACGAAAGGGACTCTGCCTCATCTACTCTCTATTCCGTTAAGCAGACACTAGCAGCTGGTGAACCCCGCGTAAGGTCGATAACGCTCGACCCTTTGCGGTCGAACGCACGTGGGGCGGCCAACCCGATTGGAACCCTGACGCAGTTCTTGGCAACATGGTCTGGTCGCCCACACCTATAACACAGGCTTGCCCTGTCAACCGCACTCGGGCATCCTGCTGCGACATGTCCCCTGGCCAGGCAACAGTGGCACTGTAGCGGTCGCTGCCAGAGGTTGACGACCCTAGCCGTGCACCAGATGAAGCTGATCCTACCCTTATTCAGGGCCGTCTGAATCGTCGCCAGCGGAGTAGTGAAAACAGTCTCCCCTAGTTGTCCCCTCCCGGCCCTTATCTCTCCAACCCCGATGTGGTTAGGGTTTACGCCCCCTTCAGTTCCAATTGGGTATTCCTAACAATTTAGTCCCGGATCCATCCCCACAAGTTTAACTGTCCCCATCGTTTGCAGCTTGGAGACCTTCGCGTCTAGAACCGTTTTTTTAGGAGCCTTGGCAACCTGGTCCGCTTTGGCGGCCGCCTCCTTGCTCTTGATGCTCCAGATAAAGGTTCCAGTGAGTCCCCTTTCGGACAGTCATCGTTTCCAGGCCCAGCTCCTTTAGATTGATGCACTCCCTCGCTTTGACGAGAGCATCCCGGTAGGTGGCTGCCTCCTTGCATACAAGAAAGACCGCCGCAGTCTCTCTGACCCTCCCCTTGCGGTTCCTCTTCCGCGTTTTCTTCCTGGGTTTCTTCTTGCCCATTCTATTGTCCTCGGCCGTATCCGTTGGTTCCATCCAAGTTGCCCAGGGTCTGTTGCGCCGCCGCTGTCCAGAACTGCAATCGCCTCTTCTTCCGACCAACAACCTTTACGAACCCGTCCCTAGAAGCTGGGGGGACCGAGGTCGGAACATGCTGGTCAGGCATGCGTGCAATGTTGGGTGGAGGATGTTCCAGCACTCCCCCCGGCGGTTGTCTTCAGTGCAGTCTTCTCTTCAGGCCGCCGGCCAGGGTTGTCCAAGGCGCGTACAGCACTCTACAACTCCCTATTGGACTACTGTATCACCTCCATTCCCTTGGTCAGCTCTCTCAGCACCGCAATTACGCTGCTAATTTCCGTGTTCGAGCTGGATCTGGCGGCATCCAGCTTCTCGTCGATGGCCGCTGTCTTCCTGCTCTCTTTTGGCTCAAGGCCATAACCTCACCCTGAACACTGGCAATGGTGGCCTCCTTCTTTTTAAGCTCCCTCCTGAGCTTTTCATATTTCTCTTCTATGCTCTTCTTCTGGGCCTACATCATGCTCACTTCGGCCCTCAGCTGACTCACCGTCTCCGTGTTAGAGGAGGACGCGCCCGAGAGTCTCCCTAACCGGGCGTCTATCTCATCCGCTATCCTCAAGGCCCCTATAATGTTTCTTTTTATGCGGCCAGACACTTCCTCCTTCAGGTTAGAGGACCGCGCCCGCTCCGCTTCCACTCCCATCAAAAGCTCCCTCAGCTTGACAGTTAGCTTCCCAGACTTCAAGGATGATGATGAGGAGCTGCTTCCTGCTTCCTTCCCAGGGATGACAAACTCCTTCCTCGGTGGGTCCGTTTCGACGATCATGCAGTCTTCTTCTTTCTCCGAAGACTCAACCCTCGGCCTTACCCTTTTTCCGCTCCTCGTCGAAAATGGTGAGCAGGAGCCAGATATCCTTAGAGCCTTGACAGCTCTAGCAGCTCGTTGCCATTCCTCCAGTCCGTCCATCCTTCCTGCAGCATTAATTCGTCTACAAGCCAGGTTGCCTACCTGGGAACAACTTCCCGGTGCATTGACCAGAGCCAGGGCCGGGTTGCCTACTCCTGACTCTTGACAGTCGTCTGATGTCGACGGAGGGTGGCCTGTCCTACCATCACCAAACACCGCCGTGGTGTGGGTATCCCTCCCACACCGATTTTTCGCTGAAGTTGTACTCTTCGTATCTGATTATCTGTAAATATGGGGTACAGTGCCCCAGCGGAAAGGAAGGAAGTCCGAGAAAAGAAAGAATAGAGAAAGATGGGACAGAAAGCGCTAAAGATAGGAATAGCTATACGAGATTATTCACACTCCAAACATACCTTACCTTGTAGTCGCCTCTTACGACAAGCAGGGAATACTGTGGGAGAACTCTATTACCCCCTGCCAACTGGGAGGGCACCTGCTAAGGCTACTGCAACTGCAACTGTAGCTGCAACTGCACCTGCACAGGCTACTGCTACTGCAAGTTTAACTGCATTTAAATATGCAGATGCTGATGCAACTGGAAATGCACTTGCACAGGCTACTGCAACTGCAATTGCATTTTTTTCAAGTTTTGACATCAAATGCAACTGCATATGCACATGTTACTTCCACTGCAATTTTAACTTCATTTGCAGCTGTACGTGCAAATGCGACTGCAACTGCTACAGCAAAGGAAACTAACACAGCAACAGCACATGCAACTGCAAATGCAACTTCACATGCTACTGAAACTGATACTGCATTCTTTTTGTATGTTATATTCTTTTTACTTTTTTAAAAAATGCAACTGCAACTGCTATTAAAACCCCACATGCAACTACAACTGCAACAGTTACTGCAACTGCATTTTTTTTCTAATGTATATTATTCTAGCTTTTTAACTGCAAATGCAAATGCAACAGCATTTTTTCTTAATACATACATTTTTAGCATTTTAAATGCCAATGCAATTTTCACTGCAACGGCACATGCAACTAGAATTGGACATTCTGACCAAACTGCAACTGCACATGCTACTGCAACTGCAATTGCATTAAAAAAAAGTTATTTTTTTCACGTTTTAACTGCAAGTGCCACTGCTACTTCAACTGCAAATAGAAATGCCACTGCCCCTGCGACTGCAACTGCAACTGTATTTTTTTTTATTTACTTTACTAGCTTTCCCACAGCAAACGCAAATGCAATTGCAACTACACCTGCCATTGAATATGCAACTGCAACTGCATCTGCATTTTTTTTTATTTACTTTTTTTTCACGTTTTACATGAGAGTGAGACTGCATCTTTAACTTCAAATAGAAATGAAACTGCAACTGCAACTGCTAATTCAATGGACTCTGCAACTGCACACGCAACTGTAAATTTAACTTTACATGCTTCAGAAACTGCAACTGCACACGCAACTGTAAATTTAACTTTACATGCTTCAGAAACTGCAACTGCATTTTTCCAAAAATTTATGTAAGAGACGGTAAGCGTCGCCGTCTTATCTTTTAGGTCTGTCGACAATGACGCTGGTTTGTTAGCATAAGGCGATAGGAATTTGTTAGATTTTGAGTAACCGGCTACAACGGACGAAATAAATGACGGTTTGGATGCGACGAATGAATGCACGAGCGACAAAAGGCAGTGAGTGTTGAGCGATGTAAGAGAGAGGTTCTGCGTTTTGTAATAGAGATTAGAATAAAACTGTTTTTCCCATTAAAAATCCTACATTTATTATTTTTTTATTTCTCAAAAGCAAATGCAACTGCAACTGAAATGCATCTGAACATGCAACTGCAAGTGCAACTGCATTTCTTTTATCTTTATATTTTTGTAACTTTTTATTAGCAAAGGCTACTGAAACTGAAACTTAACCTGCAAAGGCTACTGGTTCTGCAATTTCACTTTTATTAAATTCTATTGTTTTCCTGTTAAACTGCAAGTTTCACTGCAACTGCAACTGCAGATGCAAATGCCACTGCCACTGCATTTTTTTAAACTTTTTAATTAGAATTGCAACTGAAACTAGACCTGCATATGCTACTGCAACTGCAACTGCACTTGAACATGCGAATGCAATGCAACTGCGACTGCCACTAAATTTTATTTAAATTATAAATTTTTCTTGCATTTTAACTGCAACTGCAACTGCAACAGCACATGCAATTGCAACTGTAACAAGATTTTTTTTTAAATATTACATTTTTTTTACTCTTTAAAAACAAATGCAACTGAAACAGTTATTGCAACAGCACATATTGATGCTACTTTATCTGCACATGCTACTGCAACTGCAAATTTAACTGCAACTGAACAGCACATACACTTGCAAATGCTAATGCAACTGTATCTGAATTTTTTATATTTATAAATTTTTTACGTTTAAACTGTAAGTAAAACTGCAACTGCAACTGCACATGGACATATAACTGCAAGTGCAACTGCAACTAAAACTGCATCTTTAAATGCAAATGAAGCTGTATCTGCATTTCTTTTTAATTTTTCTAATTTTTACTTTTAAATAGCAAAAGAAACTGCAAAGGCTATAGCAACGAAACATGCAACTGCAATTGTAAGTGCATATGCAACTGTATATGCTACTGCAACTGCACCTGCTACTGTAACTATGAATGCAACTGACACTGCAACTGCCAATGCAACTTATACTGCAACTGCCAATGCAACTGACACTGCAATTGCACATGTAACTACACATTTACCTGTTACAGTAACTGCACTTGCAAAGGCTTCTGCAACTGCAATTGTAACTGTGCGCGCCACTGCAACTGCTATCTAAACTGAACCTGAAACTGCACATGCAACTGCAAGTGCAACTGAAAATAAATCTGCATCTTCACATGATAATAGAACTGTAACTGCATTTCTTATTATTTTTTCTTTTTAATTAATTTTTAATAGCAAATGAAACTTCAACTGCAACTGCTACTGAACATGCTATTGAAACTGCAACTGAATTTTATTTCCAAATACTATATTTTTTTTACACTTAAAAAGAGTATGCAAATGCAACTGCTAATGCAACAGCACATGCTGATGCAACTGCAACTGCAAATGTTATTGCAACTCTAAATTTAACTGCAACTGCAACTGCACATGCAACTGAAACTATAACTTCACATGCTACTGCAACTGCAAATTCAACAGCAACTGCCACTCATCATGCAATTGTACATTGAATTGCTGCTGTAACTTCGCCTGTACAGGCTCCAGTAACTGCAATTGCATTAAAAATAATTTTTTTTTCGTTTTAACTGCAAGTGCAACTGCTACTGCAACTGCAGATGGAAATGCAATTGCTACTGCGACTGTAACAGCAACGGCGACTGCGACTGCAACTGCCACTGGAACTGCACATGCAGATGCAACTGCAGCTGTGATTGCAACTGCATATTTTTTTATTACTTAAACTTTAAATAGAAATAAAACTGCAACTGCAATTAGTTATGCAATTGACTCAGCAACTGCACACGCAACTGTAAATTTAACTTTACATGCTACCAAAACTGCAACTGCATTTTTTTTAAATTTTATTTTTTTTTTTTTATTAATATTATGTGCATTCGCACATGCAACTGCAAGTGCAACTGCATTTCTTTTATCTTTATATTTTTGTAACTTTTTAATAGCAAAGGCTACTAAAACTGCAACTTCACCTGCAAAGGTTACTGGTTCCGCAATTGCATTTTTATTAAATTCTATCTTTTTCCTGTGTAACTTCAAGTGCTAGTGCAACTGCAACTGCAACTGCATTTTTTTAACTTTAAAACTTTTAATACAAGAGAAAAGGTTTTACAAAAAATAAAGAATATTATTTTAGGAGCATAGGGTTTCACTCCTTCGATAAAAACAATTAGATTATCGATAGCTACCAGGCTATCGCGCGTACGGTATTTTAATCGCTATTCCTTGACTTTGCAGAATAGCTATTTTGTCAGTTACTCATACTATAATTTACTCTAATCGCTCGATTGTCCACATTCTAAATCTACAATTAGATTAGTAACTCGTAAAAAAATTTCAGGAAAGCGCTTACCGAAAAATATAGTCTTAAAGAACATAAATTTTTCCAACGGTCAAACAAACGCTCGTGATAGTCAAGACAAGCTATTGATTTTTTTCAAAAAAAAAAAAAAATAAAATAAGTTAGAAATATTTGAAAATCAGCTGTATGTTTATTATAGGAAAAATCAAGAAGCTACATTATGATAAAGTAACGATGTATACAAAAAATTCTAATTGCAATTTCCAAAACGGTCATTTGACCGCACATAGTAGGATTATTGTTAAAAACGATCGTTTTTCGTTGAAAAAGAAATAATTTCTAACAACAAAGTCATTAAACTAGTAGAAACTCAACGATTTTTATCTATTAAGGACTGTTATTGTCAGACCATCAAAGAATCGTAACATTTTTTTGTTATTGAAATTTATATTCGTAGGTATACACTGTGAAGCTTTTACGTAAGCGTTTGAAAACTTAGCATTAAACAACATTTTTTTAAAGATCTAATAATTTGCTACTACGAACAGATCCGGAAGCAAGAATAAAAATATATGCAATTCGATATGGAAATGTTTTTAGACGGTGAAAGACGAACTATGAGACACTAAACAAATTTAATTTTGTGTTAACAATGATCGTTATCAGTCGAAATGAAATTGAATTCTACACGTAATGTAAACAAAAATAGTAGAAATTGGACGATTTTGTATTTTTTAGGACTGCTGTGGTCATACCATCAACGATATCCACATTTTTTTAGGTCTTAAAATTCATATAAAGAAGTTTACGCTTTAAGGCTTAAACAAAAAAGTTTAAAAACTTTCTTTATTTGCACTTCTTTAGAGATATTATACTATTCCAATACGAACAGGTCCGAAAAGCAGCTAAAAATTCTTTCAAATATATACACAAATGTTCAAGGACAGTGAAAAAAGTTATTTTAGACACTAAACAGATTGAAACTCGGATTATCAACGATCTTTTTTTTGTCGTAAAAGAATTGAGTTCTGCACGTAAAGTAAACAAAAATAATTAAAATTGAGCGATTTTTTCTCTTTCTGGGACTGTCTAAAGTCGGACCATCAACTATAACAACTCTTTTTTTCTGTCTTATAATTCCTATTCGTGTGTAAACTCTTCATGGCTTAAACGCTAACGTTTTAAAACTTCTCCTGATTAACTCTTCTTCAGAGATCCTATAGTTTGCAACTACGTACAGGTCCGTAAGGCAGCTAAAAATTCTTTTAAATGTTTTGAGAAATTGTCATTTACGGTAAAAAAATGTGCAATTAGAAACTAAACAGATTAGATTTTGGGTTAACAACGATCGATTTTCGATGAAGAAGAATTAAATTCTACACAGATAGTAAGCAAAAATAGTTAATATTTAACGATTTTTTTTCTTTCTAAAACTGCTGAGGTCGGGTTATCAATGATATCATCTTTTTCCGTTAGGTCTTATAATTTTAATTCGTAAGTATATGCCTTAACGCTCAACGCCAACATTTCAAAATTTTTTTTCATTAGCACTGTTGAGTTATGTACATTGCATATTGCTAGGCTCAGTGTATGTGCTGTAGCATACGAGCACGTATAGGCGTACTATTGTCCGACGCATACATGTAAGTCTTCCCTCTCTAGTCCATGTAAGAATGGTGTATAAGGGACAGCGTGTGGCGTGCTCTATTAACCAAATAATAGCATAGGGAAATTATAGGTTTTACGTAGGCGGATAACAAGAATTAATATCACTCGTGTAACAAATAACAACGATATATTTTAACAACGTTGGAATAACAAATCTTTCCAACGGGTACATGTGTCTTTTTTTCTCTCCATCCGCTCTCCTTTGTTCCTAACTCCTCTGCCCGCTCCCTAGTCCCTTT